TGAGGAAACAGACTCGAGAGATGAAACAACTTGTCCCAGGCGTTCTAGCATCTAACTGGCAGAGCCAAGGCAGTGAACCCACCTGTCTCCCACCATCCCACCAGTCCCTTCAGCTGTCCAAACTAACAAGGGGAAGAACCAGCCCATGAGGACCCCAAATAATAGCTCATCCACAAAAAGTATGTATGTATATACCTTTCAGGTGGCTTGATTCTGACAGGCTAGCTGTTTGCTTTATAAAACCAGCCTAGCCCTGGCCTATAAAGCCAGTTCGCCTTGGCACACCCACACCTGCGCTTGGGGGCCGTGGGAGGGCACGAGGCACTGGCCAGGAATGGCAGGAAGCCAGCAGCCTGGAACATTTGCCTTGGATGTGGAAAGTGGCTGTATTGACCTCATCGGGTGGAGGCACCGGGTGTTGAACCATGTTTATCCCAAACCCTCCAGGAAGGAGCCTGGGAGCAGCCAGTTCTTCCTTACATAACCAGTCTGGCCCAGACCTCTGTGGCTGGTGTATTGCCCTTCCTCCCTACACCTCAGCCCCTTTGTGCTGGGCAGCTCTCAGCCCCAGGGAGCCTGGCCACTTGGCTTTTTCTAGTCCAGAAGACATGGATTGATGGGCTGGGAGAGGCCTCCTGGGGCCTGGAGGGTGAGCTCACCTTGGCGCCACACTTGGGATTCACCTTACTCTTTGCTGAGATCACCTCCAGAGGATTGGCATAGGTGACATCATCCCACAGTCCCTCAGTGCTGTGCAGAAGCCCCGCCTAGCCAGGTGGGAAAGGTGAGAGGCTTTGAGGAAGCTGCTCACTAGGCTGGGAAGAGAAGCTGGAGCCCGCCCCTCCCGCAGTGATCATTTTCTTAATCACCCAGAGACTTTATTACTCATCTACTCTCTGGAGTTGCGAATTAAGGCCACAGTAGAAATTGGGTGCTAGAGGCCAAGGAGGAGCACTTGGCTGTAGAACAATATCTCCTGCTCAGACTTCACCTCCTGTGTGTGATCTGCCCCATCTTTCCCACTGGCTTGTTCACTCTGTTCCCCCTCTCTAGTCCCTGGGTGGCACAAATGGTTAAGCCCTTGACTACTAGCCAAAATGTTGGTGGTTCAGACTACACAGCTTCTCAGAAGAAAGGCCTGGCAATCTGCTTCTAAAAGGTCACAGCCTGGAGCATGGTTCTACTGTGCATGTGTGGGGTCACCATGAGGTGGAGTTGACTGAACAACAATGGAATTTCTTTCTTTTTTTTCCTTTCAATTGTCTCCCCTCCCCATACCCTGTGGCCTCAGAGGGTCAAGTCCTCCTCCTTTACTTCCTTGACCCTAGAGGCTGATGAGGAGAGGGAGGGGAGGCTGCAAGGGGCCATGGAGAACCTGGGATTCAGACGTAAGGCAGACCTAAGTTGGAATTCTAGTTCTGCCATTTTCTGCTGCATGACTTTGGGGATGGGACTCAACCTCTCTGAGCCTCAACTTCTCTGAGCCTCAGTTTCCTCACTTAAAATGGGAATCAGGACATTTCACAGGAGCAGATGGGATAATGTAAACGCAAATCATAGCCCTCCCTGATGAGGAGTCCTCTAGTTTAACGGGTTGAGGGGTTAGCAATCTGAAGACTAAGCCTCATCTATTAATGTTCTTGCCTTTGAGTCAGATTTGACTCATAGCGACCCCTCCTTGGGTTTCCAAGGCAGTATCATTACGGAAGTAGATTGCCCAACCTTCCTTCCAAGGAGTGGCTGGTGGGTTTGAACCACCAGCTTTCTGATTAGCAGTCAGATGCCTTAGGCACTATGCTACCAGAGCTCCTTATGAATGTTCTTATCTCTGAGAATGGAGCTCTGGTGGCATAGTGCCTAAGGCATTTGACTGGTAACCAGAAGGTTGGAAGTTCAAACCCACGAGGCACTTCATGAAAGGAAGATGGGGCAATTCTAAATGAAACAGCCCTTGGTGTCTTTTTGAGCCCACCCAGTTTTCTTGTTGATTGAGCACCAGTTATTATCACACTAGGTGCTAGGGGTTCAAAGACAGGGTCCTAATAAAATTGAAATGCCCTTATCTTGGTATGACTTGTTCTTCCCTAAATGTAAGTGGCACTTACAAAGTTATCTTGAAGTGTGATTGTTTAGGGTCAGCGATCCTTCTTTATTTCACAACCTGTGGACAGGACCTCGGGGGCCTCATAAATGTTTAAAATAATCACATCCCGGCCACATCAAGCACTGACCGCTTTAGGAGTGTACTGGGCCAAGCTTGTAGATTAGATTTCCTCCCTCCATGGGGATTATCTGTGACTCAGAAGTGGGCTGTAGACACAGCCATCCGACATCCACTCAGCAGCTCCTCATGGTTGTCTACAAGACACCTCAACCTCAGCACAGCCAAGATGGAACTTGGAAGCTCTCCCTGCCTGCCACTCCTGTTCCTCTTCCAGCCCAACAAAAAGTTCCAGAGATAAATGGTAGTCTTCTTGCATGCCTCCTTCTGCCACCCCCAGTCCCATCTATACCCAAGTCCTGCCCGCTCAGCCTGCAAACATACCCTGTCTTCATCCCTCCTGTCTATTCTTACTGCCACTATCATCTCTCCCAGATCCCCTGCAACACCCTCTATCTGGCATCCTTGGTGCATGGTGGCTCCTCTGGTCCTCACCGCAGCCAGAGGGAGCCCATTCAAGTGCTAGCCTGACTTGGTCATCACACGCAGTATCAAATCTAAAGCCCCACTGAGCTTTTTTTGAGGGTGATGGTAAAATTCAGAAACAGTAATGTTAATTGTTGAACAACACGATGAACAAAACTGTTGTTAGTTGCCACTGAGTTCATCCAACTCATGATGACCCACTGTGTGCAGAGCAGAACTGTGCTTCATGGGATTTTCAAAGTTGTGACCTTTTGGAAGCAGATCACCTAGGCTGTCTTCACTGGGTTCAAACTCTCAACCTTTCAGCTAGTAGTAGAGCACCTAACTATTTGCACAACCGAGGGCTGTCAAAGCTAATATTACTAAATTGTACAGGTGAAGAATTTTGAAAAGGCAAATGATTTGTTACATAGATATTGACCACAATTTAAAAAAATCTAAAGGCTCCACTATGGCCTCTGAGGCCCTTGCTGATCTGGCACCTACTCTGTGACTTCATCACACACTACGCTTCCCTTTGCTCTACCCAGCAGCCATACTGACCTTCACTCAGTTTCCCAGATGAACCGTGCCTTCCCACTCACCAGCCTTTGCACATGCAGTCAGAATTCTCTTTCCTCTCCTTTCCAGCCCAGTGCCTACTCATCTTCAGCTCTCAGCTCAGAGCTACAGGAAGTCTAACCCAAGAGCAGTGCCCATGAGTCCCTCTCGTAGCATTGACCATGAGCATTGACCAGGGTTGGTAGTAACACAATTACTTAGGAAGTGAGTACTGGCTCCCTAGTCCCTGGGAGGTATAAATGGTGAATGCGCTCAGCTGCCTGCTGAAGGGTTGGAGGTTTGAGTCCCCTCAGAGGTGCCTTGGAAGAAAGGCCTGGTGATCTGTTTCTGGAAAAGTCAGCCATTAAAAACCTTACGGAACTCATGGGATCACCATGAGTCAGAGTCGACTCGACAGCAACTGGTAACTAGTGCTATCTCTTTGATTTGTGAGGCTGTACACTCCCTTAGGGAAGGGACCACATACATCTCTAGTGCCTGGCAGGTCTTAGGGGCTCAAAAAGCATTTGTTCAGTAACTGTGTGTGCTAAGAGATCCCAGCATTATGTCCTGTTCCATCTTCTGTCCCTAGCAGCGTGGTGACATGGCTGCCTGTGGAGTCACCTGCCCCCAAATTGTGTCTATTGCAGTCAACAGAGTAACGGCTCCCCAAACAATGTCTAGGAGCTCTGGTAGCATAGTACCTAAGGCACTTGACTGCTAACCAGAAGGCTGGCAGTTCAAACCCACCAGCCACTCCTCAGAAGGAAGATTGGGCAATCTACTTCCGTAGTGATAGCACCTCAGAAACACAAGGAGGGGTCACTGTGAGTCAAGGCCGACTCGATGGCACATAACAACACAACAACAACAAACAATGTCTGCATCCTTGTGCCCGGAACCTGTGAATATGTTACCTTACATGGCAAAAGGAACTTTAGAGGTGTGATTAAAGTAAGGACCTTGAAATGGGGAAAATATCCTGGATTGTCTAGGTGGGCCTGACATAATCCCAAGGGTGCTTATAAGAGGGAGGGAGCAGGAGGTCAGACAGTAGATGCTTACTGCTGGCTTTGAAAATGGGAAAGGGCCATGAACCAAGGGATGTGGGTGTCCTCTAGATGATGAAAAAGGCAAGGAAATGGATTCTCCAGAAGAACACAGCCCTGCAAACCCATATTAGACTCCTGATCTCCGGAATTATAAGATTATAAATTTATTAGTTGTTTTACCATCAACTTTGTAGCAATTTGTTACAGCAGCAACAGGAAACTAATACAACTATGTAGTCATGTTTCAGGGCTTTGTGAGAGCAAGGGAATTCCTGGCTTCCAGCTGGGTGAGAAGAAATCTCAAAAGAAGGAGGGAGTAATGTCTCATGTGCCTGTTGTCCCTGATCCTAGTAAGACCCACACTTCTCATGTAATTGTTCAAACAACCCCATTAGTCATGGGTGGTGATATCCCATTGAACAGGTGGGGCTCACTGAGGTGAAGTTAGCTGGCCAAGTTGACATAGTAAGTGCCAGTATCAGGATTTGAACTTGACTCTGCCTATACTCTTAATCTCACCCCACTCTCTCTCTCCCTCCTGAGAGACTGTGCTCCCTCTCAGTATATGGCCAGCATTTAGTCACACTTGGAAAGTAGTCAAGAAGGGGACCTGTGCCCCCTCCAAACATACCCCACCTTAGTGTGTGCTGAGATCAGTGTCTGGATTCTCTGCATTGTGGTCACCAAGTCCCTGCCTGTCCTCTGCAGCCGAGACTAGAACCCCATCTCAGTGAAAGCCTCTGTGTTTGTCTCTCCCTCAGTGTGAACGAGCTCTATGTCGATGACCCGGACAAGGACAGCGGGGGCAAAATTGACGTCAGTCTGAACATCAGTTTACCTAATTTGCACTGTGAATGTGAGTATTCCCAACAGTTCCTGCTTCCAGCAAGACAACTCTTTCAGGCAGATCTCTGAATGCAAAATGGAGAGACAGCCAGGATATATTACATGAACAGAGAAGACTGCAAACAGTTCATAGTATATGACCCTCCCCACTCTCTTTACGAGGAGAATGTGATGAATGTGCATGCACTTGGAGGTGCGTGCGAAACACTGCTAATGGGTTACCTCTAGAGGATAGCCACTGAGGGTATCTTAAGTCATGGTCCCTAGGGGCAGAGCCTGAGATGAGGCTTCTCATGCAAGTGACATGTGAAGAGAAGGCTCTCAGGACGGAAGCAGGATAGGGCAGAGCAAGAGGATAAGCAGAGATGTGTATTCAGCTGAAATCTAATCTCAGCCAGACCCCACAGGAGTTCTGGAGTGTGGATTACACCATGGTAGTTTGCCCTTCCCAGTAGCAAGGGACCAGGCTGTTATTGTCCATATTATTGGCTAATGGCTGCAAGTGTGTGCGCATGTGTGGTGAAAGGAAGGGTTCAGGTGTCACATAACCTCCCAAGCATTTCAAGGCAAGGAGACTTCTAGTCAGCTAAGAGCAGTGCCCTGGAGAAGGTATAGGCCTGGCCTGCACCAACCAATAAATGGGGTCTGGAAGGAGTTCCACCAGTATCTGTTACAGGGGAGAGTTGGAAGACTTCCTATTTCCTTCCTGCTCTAGTTTGTTTTAACCAGGAGACTGAATTACTTGTATAAAACAAAACTCATTTGAAGTTTACTTTGGCCATTCTGACTGCTTTGCTCACTAAAACAGTGACCTCTGGCTAAAGTGATCTCCAAGCCTCAGCTTCCTCATCTGCAAAATAGACTCTCTGGCCTGAGGTTGCTGGGAGGGCCTGGTGAGATGTGGGCTGGGGTTCTGGCTCTCCCTCTGCCCCAACCTGGCTGTAACCTGCTTCAGGGCCTTTCCCCACTTACGTGTTTCCACCTAGTTCAGGGCATGGTTGGATGAGTCTCCAACCAGAGATAAGGGAGAGAATTGGCCCTGTTACTGCTCTGGAGTCCTACAGTGAGAAGTACGTCATGAGTTTGAATCCACTGTGGGCCCCAAGCCAGGGAACCTGTTGAAATAGGTTGGTTTTATTTTTATGTTTTCTTTTTCTCTTAGAAAAAATACTTCTTTTGGCAGCTTCTCATTCAGGAGCTGGTTGTGTCTCTAGAACTAGGAAATTCTTAGTCAGAACAGAGGACTGGGAACAATAGGAGGGAAGGGATCTGGTTCCATGCTCTGGCCCAGCTCTGGGCAGTAGCCCAGCCGGGGCTGGCAAGCCTCAGGCTGCTGGCTGTGCCACCCCCTCTCTGCTTCCCACCTGGACCACAGGCTCTGCTGGCGTACAGGACTTTGGCTTTTCTTTAAAAGAGCTTTAAATTTTATTATAGAAAAAATGCGTGCTTATTATTGCTCCTTTGGAAAATCTAGAGAAGCTGAGAGAGGAAATCGCCCACGATTCCACCACCGTAGTGTTGGTTGACATTTTGACGTAATTCCCTCTGGTTGGGCTTCTATTCTGTACATTTTTAAACATGGCTGAGATCATATTGTGTACAGCCTCATAGCTTGCTTTTAAAAACATTTTCTTGGTACATAAGTAATACAGAAGTATATTTTATTTAAACAAAAAAAAATTTTTTTAATTAAAAATACAGAAATATATAAAGAAAAAGGTAAAAGTCTCCCTGTTCTCCTTCATATTCCCCAGCATATCATCATCCCCAGAGGAAGCTTCCGTTAGTAGTTGGGGCTGTTTTCTGTCCTTCTGTACTTGTGCATGTGTTCATCTGCAAAGATATATAGTATTTTAGGCTTTATTTTCCTTTTTACATGATAGGGACCCCATTATAAGGCACCATACTGGGGTTTGTTGTTCAGTGAATATTTTAGAGCTGTTCTTATGTTATAAATAATAGGAGCAAAATAGTGACTACAGCTACCATTTATCCAGCTTTTATTCTGGGCCAGTCCCTGTCCTGAATCTGTTGAAATACACTAAGAGGAGAGGTATACCAGGAATGCAGGGATGGTTCAGCATTAGAAAATCAACCAACATGATACACCACATCATTAGAACAAAGGAAAAAGAACCACATGATCATCTCTATAGATGCATGAAAAACGTTTGATGAAATCCAACACTCTTTTTTGATGAAAATTTTCAAGAAGATGGAATAGAAGGGAAATATCCTCAGTATGATTCAAGGCATGTGTGAAAAGTCAGCAGCCAACAATGTACTTAATGGAGACAGACTGAACTCTTTTGCCTTGAAACTAGGCATAAAAAAAGGGTACCTGCTCTCCCCATTTCTATTCAGTATTGTATTAGAGGCTCTAGCCAAAGCATTAAGACAAGAAAAAGAGATTAAAAGTATCCAAATTGGAAAAGAAAAAGTAAAATTATTTCTGTTCACAGATGATGTGACCATGTTGTTGTTGTTGTTAAGTGCCGTCGAGTCGTTTCCGACTCATAGTGACCCCATGCATAGCAGAACGAAACACTGCCCGATCCCGCGCCAGCCCCACAATCCCTGCTATACTTGAGCCCATCGTCGCAG